AGATGAAATGTTACAGGGATTATAGGAAAGTACAGTAATAGAGTTATTTAAATAGATAAGCAAGATACAATAGATTATTTACAAAAGGAAGGAATTTTTATAGACACTAATCGAAAATAGAAAAGAAATATTTTAGAAAGGTATTTACAATATATAAACAAAATGAAACAATTTTCACACATGTGGTGGATATCGCCACAAGGTTATAGAAAGAAATTACTTTATATAAGCTCATTGTTACCTTTTCTACGTTTCGTGTCTATATTTTCGCAATTGTAATCAATGGTAAACTGATCATGGTTGTAGCCGAGAATTGTAAATTGCACTGGATCGACAGATTTCTCGAATTTTATTGCTATAACTCCTTGACCACTACCACTAGCCAATGTAACTACACCGGTAGACTTAGACCATTGTTTTATTGGTACATATTTCTGATGCGAAATTACATTTGAGGACGCAGGTGACGGTCTTTCAAAGTTTAGATACTGGCAGTCGATCTGGATGTTGGAAGTAATCACAGTGAACCATCTCCGCAGGCTTCCATACTATTAAAAAAAAATTATAGTGAATTGGATAATTTACTATTAGATGACTAATTTTTAAAAACAGGTAGTCACGTTTTGTAAAATTCATATGGCTATTTGTGTTCTATTAAGATACAAAATATTTCTTATATCTGCCTGTCTGTTTGTACGTACTAGCTAATATTCGAATAAATAGCCTCGCTTTTACGGTGCTAGTCCTGTCAGGATAGTACTTTCGTGACAGTTATGAAAATATTTAAGAAAATGCGAACAATGTGACGTGTAAAATAAAGTTAACTTACGTAATCAACTCCTGGAAAATCTTTTGCCGGTTTTATATTTCTGTCTTCACACTGACCTTGAGAGATGTATTGTGAATAAGAAGACGAAATGAATGCAAGAAAAACAATAGCAAAAAGTTGCTTAAACATTTTTACTAAGTACCTACTTCTAGGTTGTTGCTTGCAAAATGTAATGGTCCTGTATTTTTCTGAGTGTATATATATATTGTTCAACAGATCGAATCAATCATCTTGTTATGATGTTAATGTCAAATAATAAGCTGTTTTTCCGAGAACTGTGCTGTAATCTCTCATCTCTCAACCACTTATTAGCGGATGTAAGTGTACCTATTTGGGGAAAGAACGGGGNGAACTGTTGCAGAAACTCGCGATTCGTAAGATACAATTAAGAATGACTAGTCAACAATTTGAGTATAATTAAGTAATAATAAAATGATAGTCTTAGTCTAGCTTATTTGATAATTGGGGAACATGGAAATGACAAGGAAGTATCACAGGGCGAGTGAAGACGGTATGCCGTCTCACCGCCCTGCATTTGCACGATTTTGAATTCGACACGTAACTTTCGTCTCTCGACTCGATTCGACTCGACTCCTCTATTGTCATTAATGCCGTTATTTAAACGGTCGCTAAATGATTAATGACAGAGTAAGTAGGTTGGTGTTAGCTTGCAATTTGAAATAACTAATTCAGATGTACAGGTCCAACGAAGGAAGCTGGCGAGCGGTCTCGCAGGTATTTGCCTATTTATGATCTATTTGGGTAAGTCACTTGGAGCCGATACACAAATAAGCTTTCAGTAGGCGTAAATAAATAGTATTAATGCAGATAGGACAGTAGCGTACTAGAAAATAATGTAGAAACATAACTTTTCCAAAAAGAAAAAATAAACCTATTGCTTTTGTTTTATAGTCAGTTTTCACATTCACTGTCATCATGAAAATCTCTATCACTGTCACCAACATCAACAATTAGTTCTTTTGTTTGTCTGTCTATAACTTGCTCATTGATCCCTATTTTTAAATATTTAATCTACGCCCCTGATAGGAATACTGAAGAAAGAGGGCTGCAATCATTATACCTACAACTGCTTACTTTTGCCACCGCGGATCCACGCCATTTTAAAATGCCGCCAGCTTCCAGCGTCAGGCCTGTACCAACTTTGTACAAATGATTTAAATATGAATTTGTGGATACTATGTAACAATATGTTTTTTGGGTACAAAGAAATGCCAGGACAAAAAGGAGTTCCAGGGGCGTGAAAAACTTATACAGGAGTTGAACTTGCTGTAACCGAAACTATTGTAGAAATTCGCGATTCTTAGGATTGTAATTCGCCAAATATCCCGTTATATGTCGAAAAATCGCTAGCACCCCGGTATTTTAGAATGGTAATGTAGCGGTAACACCGTTAAAATTAATTTTTATATTCGTTTTTATTGAATTTTTATTATTATTATTGTTTTGTAAATATTCTTCAAAATCTATTTGTAGACTTACAACTTCTTATCTTGTGCATGCCTTTGTTTCCTTTCAACCTAGATTCTATTGTTCTACTATCGTTAGCCTTTACCTAGAATTTCATCTTCACCTGTACTTGCATGCACCCCTTACTAATTGCTGTACTTTCCCTTAATTACTTTTCCTAAAATTCTATATTGCTCGCTCTGAGTGCTATAAACCTGTACCTTCAACTTTACTGTTCATACTGTTCCTTCTTGAATATTCTATCTCTTTTTACTAACAATTCAGCTGTATATAAACCCCTAAATTTCCATACTAACTAACCACTCTGCTGTCAACATT